GTGTGTGTATAGGCATACTAGCATTGTGTAACTATGAACGCTAACAACCTTTAAACAATATTGATACAGTTCAATTGGCACAAAGGAAGGTATCTCAGGCACAGACTGTATTTCAATCCCAGCAATGTTGCCAGTGTGAGTCTGTACATACATGTGTCCATATATGAGTCGATAAACGTATACGTAATTCTAACTATACGTAAGTTGTAATCGAGTATCAATGCACACGAATAGTAGCACATTTCAACACGCAGTTACGTTCACAAGGTGAAAATAGCAGTCCTATACAGCTATGCATGCGAACTTCCCTGATCAACTCAGGATCGATTTTTTGAGTCCGGCTAGTTGTTCGATAATTCACTTACTCGGAGTGTGCAGGAGACACCCACACGACAATTTTTTTTACAATACTTCATCTCCTTCGTTCTTATGATTAGCCTAAAAAATTGGACACTGTACTATTTAATATACCTCAGTATCGTATGTGTAGTTGCATGTATAGTCCTGCGTGTTATGTGTACATGTATTGCTTACCCCTGACTGTGTCATTCACATCGGCCTGGTGCTGCGGGATATATTAAGTGCGTCAAAGAATAGTACGTTGGTAATGTAGGACTAAGTGTGTGTAATTATGGAATGTGTGCAATTTTCAATGTGGTAGTAGGCGTACAGGATCTTACTGTGCGTCCGAACTGTGGTATATGTATACAGTAAATTTCAGCGCGTGGGAGTGTGGTATATGCTCATGATTGTACTAGTCTATCGGAGAATGGTACGTCTGTAGGGAATACGATATAGGGTATGCGAAGAAAGTTCAGTGGAACGCGGGATACATGTGCAAAGGTGAGATTAAGCTGAAGCCCTTGGAAATTTCTGACGGAATCTGCAAAAACTGTTCAACAAAGTTGCTTGCGCTTGTTTCTTATAACATATCTACTGCGTTCACGAAACTTAATTACATGTACTTAATTTATAGATTATCCCAAACTATTCACAGCTAGATATCAGAAGTTCATTTGCTCTCCGTACTCGAGCAGTTGACGCGTTAAAATGCACGTCATCAAGCCACAGCAGCTTAACACGAATACACTACTGATGGAAAGCAATGAACCATGTGCAATTATGTAAGTCCGAAATAGTGGGATCTGATCCATCGACTCGGGATCTGATTCATCGGCCCGTTGCGCCGACCAGATAGTACCTTAAGAGGTGCAACCCTTCATCATCACTCATACATTTAGGAATACTACTTCGTTGAACATAGATAACTAACATTTATACATTGTCGCATAGCACCCATCAAGAAGAATGTCGTCTACACACAAATATCGAACAAACATCAGATAAATAACATGATCAAAATACACTTGGTCAAGTGACACACGCGTCATACAACAGTACCCACCCGGAAGTATCGCAAGAGCGAATAGTAGATCGAACGCAACGTTGTTCGACTGCCAGCTTCGAGCATGGGCATGATGTGTACCATTACCAGCCACACTGAGTTGATATGGACAACGGTAGCGTATGTGAGCCTGAGGTGTTCGCATTTGATTAATGTTTGATATCGTTCCAAGAAGCCATGTAGTTTGCAAGCCAGAAAATTCTGATTCAATCACAAACCAATGAGTGGAAAAGAAGATTTCAGGTCAACACGATACTAGCTTTACTAGTGGGGCACAGCGGCGAACGGAATCTGCCAAATTTATCGTTGCAAGAAGTACTGGTCCAACTCAAAAGCGTAAACTCGTATCACTATCGATTACAACTCCTGTCGCGCACAAACATGAACAAGGCGAGATTCCACAGAGCAAATGAAACATAGGGCACGTATGACCGCTTCTCCTTACAGTTTAAGATCCCACTGACAACACGACGCCAAGTCTTGGATGCAAAGACCCAACATTCTGCATCACTTCATTTTCACTTTGCAAAACGACAGGCACATTCTTAACCAAAGCCGCACATGATAGACTCTGAAGGCGAGTATTTCGACGACAGGTCTCAAGGGTACATGACAAGTTGCGAAGTGTGCGTGACATACAGGTGAATGGCAAGCGCAAGTCTAGCTGTTTGGCATACAAATTTCACGGATAAATACTTTATGAGCGCAACGGAAAATCGGTACATATTCAGACAAACTAAAATGTACATACATACATACATACATATATATATATATATATATATATATATAGATATGGATATATAGATATATAGATATATATAAATATATAAATATATAAATATATATATGTATGTGTAAATTGTTATTAGCAGTTTTGGATGGGGTATCGAGTCGTAAAAAACCAAATTTGATCAACTTTTGAAACCGGCGGAAAGCTGATAGCCCAGTTGGTTGGTGCGCTGTGTAGAAGCCAAAACAGATATGAGACAAATGGAACTTGCGAGCGCGTATGCTTCTAATCGATAAGTACCAGTGTATGAATACACCATTTGGGTTGAAATTGCGTCGAATTTAAACTTAGTGTGTGTGTACATTTATGTATCAAATATCAAATGCCATTTAAAAAGTTACTTTTGGCACCGGTTCAGTTTGATTTAGTTGCACTCACCGATAGACCCATCGGCTGGCTCGATCCCAAGGCCAAACTCGACTCGACTTGCGAAGACTGCGTAGCAGCGCTCACTCCCAGATCTACACTCTGGCTTTCAGCATCAAATTGATTGACATTGATACCAAATGCACTACTCATTGTATCTACCCCTCCCATGGTCAGTGATATTCCAGACAGCAGGCTGCGACTGGTAATGTTCTTCCCCAACCGAAAACGGTCCTTGGCGTCAGTTCCTATGTTCGATGGAGACACACTCGGCTGTGCGTGTAGGGCATATCGGAGCTCAAAACTCCAAGTTTCAGATGCTTTGAACACACAAATACAAATAGTGAACGCAACATGTATATCACGCGTAACATGTATCTCAGCTTATACATCTGCAAGATAGATGCACTGGCTTGCAGTATAGTGGTGCAAGTGAAGGCCCAACTATGAAAATATTGACTAATTGGAAGACCACTAGCCCATCGCTAGAGATTATGGAAATTATTGTGGTACGGCTGAGTTTGCCTCAGGTATATATGGCACGCGGTTATGTGCCTAATACAGATTACTCAGCAAATTACCCTGGGTAGTGATACGCAGTGCATTTCAATATGAGCACGAATATGTCTAAAATGTACGGCAACCCTTTGTGCGAGGTTCATACTGGGTGCAGTGGCATGTGCATACTTCCTGATTTCCTTTCAAGGTGAAGGCATGGCTTACTTAGTAGACGACCAGGACATTGCTATCCTATCGAACTTAGGGCAATCAGAAAAACTGAATAGGTCTTTGTCATACTACCTATATACAAGTTCAGTTCGCATCCAAGACTATACATCCAGGCATTCACCTTCCAGAGGCCGGTTAGTATATACGTTTACTACAATGATTCGATGAGAGCTACACTGATCAATATATTATATATATATATATATATATATATATATATATATATCAATATATATATATATATACATATATCGAGCATAATCTACGGGGATCGGATACCACTACGGGCATATTTAAAAAAATACTGAATTGCATGCGTGCTTTATTAAACACCACTGATTGCGTTGGAAGTCGGGGACTTGTTTCAAATACTGCATATATGTGCTTCGTTCGCAAAATCTTTACAGGATAATATGCGCCACAGGTGACAACCTGTGTTTTGTTCGTGGAAAAAAACTTCACCTTAAAGCAGTACTGACATTGCAACGCTGGCAATCTCGCGCTATGTAGAAATATATCAACACGCAACTCGAGATAGAAAATGTTATAACAATTCAGGTGCAAATAAGCCCCAACTATTACAGGTGGGTGTGATGGGGTATCAATAGAAAGAATGGAGCGATACGCAGCGCATATCGAGCTAGCAGGTATGTTTCGGCAATGATACTTGTTACTATGACAAAGAGTTTCGAAAATACTGTTCCACCACGGCGCTTTCATGGCGGACTGTGGCACTACAAGCCTTTCGTCTCGAAATATTCCAAGACTTTATAGCAAAACAGGGCTACACACTACGGTAAATGTTAAGCTGTACTACGCACAATGTGTATTACAAAGCGGGTGCATATTCTTTGGTTTCAGTGGTACTGTGGTGTGGATGACTTCTCAGACTTAGTGGCTTGCGCAATTTAAGCGAGCAACAAATTATTTTGCACTGTGGTATCATAAAAGCTAATTATTTGTCGTATTTTTCCCCGTCCTGTGCTTTTGCTAGCAATAACATGACTAGGTTAACAATGAAATAGACTACAGGTCATATATAAAGGTGCTTATTATATGGACATACGAACGCAGGCAAACTATATACGAGGCGATGTCGAGCCATCACAGAAGGTATGCCTTTTTTTATTCTTCATTGAGAGGGGAGAACGCTTCATTTGTTCTTTGTGTTTGCAACTGAGAACTCACTTAAGAAGACGTGCCAATTCCTTTACCGAATAGCACGTACACCAAGTACAACATTGTCTTGCCGGACTTTTCAGATTATTAAATATCGAGTGTTTACGATGCTACTTTGAGCTGATAACATCGACACAACCACGTTTACATTCCTTACAAAATAATGCCTATTGAAATATCCACCACCAATATTAATGCAGGCGTATATCAGTTTAACACGTAGTAATATTTACCAAGCTCAGTGTAGGTTCCGTAGACTGGCACAGATCAACAATCGTTGTCAGAATGCACCCCTCAATATGACCCATCACATCCTCGTTGGAAAGGTCCACCGCTTCTGACCATTGATCATCGCGCCTGCATTCATTCATGTTTCCTTGAATACACGTATCTCTATATACTTCTTGCATGCAATTTATGTGGTCTATCTTTAATGCACAGTAGTTGGGCACATACAAAAGGCAACCTGGCCCGAGATGCACAACAAAGGGGTGTTTTCACACGTGTATTTTCTTGCTTTCTTGTTGAAATCGTAACAGCGATAATAAGTGCGCGTACGTATGTAAATGTGTGTATGCGTGCATGTAAATATGCATATGTGTGTGTATGCGTGCATGTAAATATGCATGCATGTGTATGCAAATGTTTGTATGCGTTGACACAAAATATGCTTGCGTGTATAAGTAGATATAAGTGATAGGCGCACTCCCGGTGAAAGTGAGTAGTGGCAACTTGCAAGTTGCATATCATCACACTTTCGTGTGTTTATTTCTTTTTGATGTAAATGGGTAACCTAAATCGATCCTATAAATATCAGCCAATTATATTACAGTATGGGAAAAACAGACAGTACAGAAACAAGACTACTAGAAGAGACTGTGTACAACACATTCAATAGTAAACATAGCCCACAATATCAGGCCATCCTAGTTCAAGTATAAATACGACTCAAACCATGCGCAGGCGCACAGGCGTGTGGTAGTGTACTTGTGCATTGCCCCGTCTAACGATAATTTCTTATATTTATAGATCACCTCTGTTTTCGGACAGCGGCCCACCCTCCCACATACATCAAAATATAAAATAAACGAACAATATAAAGGAACGAAAGTAACCGTGCAGTTGTCCGTGTACGGTTAACTGTAATCTTATTTATGTATAGAGGCCTGGCAACCGGTGTATTAGACATCCTATAGACCTATACTGTAAATACAAATACATGCATACAATGTATACTGTACCGTTTGCCTGAACTGTAAAGCCTCAACGATGACTCAGTGTTGTATTACTATATCTCGGTGCTTTAAAGTTGTATATGGGTGAGTGCATTTTGTTGAAAGTGCTGAAAAGTACTGAGATGGCTCAAAACTTTGCTATTATTAATATTACGTGACGATGTGTAATCAACCATCGCGGTACACAGCTAAGTTTCGCTGAGGTAGACAGTTTCGCTTTTGATACGTACGAAACTGAAGTAGTTTCTGTTGTGTGAGCGTGAACGTCAAGTTCGTATTGAGTTCGTGTTGATTGCCTATAAGTGTGCGATATCTATAACCAGACTCGGAGTCAGCATAGTCGATTATTCGTAAGGTTCATGTTCGTATCAACTGTCTGTAAGCGTGTGGTTTGAAGAGAATCTGTGCCACGGCGACACAACTAACATTGTAAGCTCCCAGAGGTAATCGTTAAAGTTTGCATGCGATACGCAGCTCTAAAGAAGGCGTATACGCGGTCGTAACTCGTGTCGACAACGTTTAAGTGAGTGGAACGATCAGAGCCTGAGTTGAAGAATTCGATGCAATGTACACTGCTTGCGACAAGTAGCTCTCTGAGTTAAGGCGCACGGGTGGTTGTATATTGCGATCAGCCCACAAGTGCGTGTAGAACCTCATGTGCGTGGTGTGATGAGGTGAGTCTGATATATGAGACGACCGCAGCAGAATAGACTAACACTCGTACGAGACCCTATCTAGAAATAGATACAAAAAAAATATGGTCCGTAGGGCTAGCTACAGTAATTGTACATGAACGAATCTGTATCGTTTGAGAACCAATTACCTGAGCGCTCAGGTTTGATCTCCAAGCACTCTACCACTACTCACTCGCATACACGCATCCGTGGTTGCTATGAGCTGCGTGTTTAAAATGTGTCACTATCCTCTATACTAAAATAAAGCAAGGGTCAAAACATACAACAGCAGGAGAACTAGGTTTCAACGAAAGATAACTAGGTTTTAGGGAGCGCTATTATGTTTATTTACTCAAAACTTGCACAATATGATACTAATTGTATTAACCGTGAAAGGATATTAGAAATATAAAATCGACACTTTATTGCAATGCCATTGACCATCTCGAGAGTCAAAACGGCAAACCAACATATATATATATTATAAATATATAAATATATGCATATATATTTATATATATAGTTGTTTCCTTCAGTCTAGCAAATTACCTAGAGCAATCGCCGCTATTCTCTGCCTAGGTTCCACTAACGTATCAAACATATCCGGTTCATACTCGAAGCATATAACATCGCACCATTCAACCCTGTTAACACAGTACTCAAATCTCACCCCACCACCGCGAAACTCCACAGACCTACGAGTACGACGGACGTGGATGCATCCTTGAACATGACCATCAGCACTTTTTACAAACTATCACCAACGCCAAACTACTCTCCGCTTAATCACTGCCACCTTTCCTGTGTGGTTATAACAGAAACACTAGCTAGTCATGAAATCGCATGCATAAACCGCCCTATACCTTATCAAAGTGTCAAACCTATAGCTTTTTTTCGAACAAATACCTCTCAAACTTATATCCACGGCTAAACTGCGAACACACCCAGCCTCACTCCGTACCCTCAGCCCAAACTGTCCCATCTCAGCCTCGCTACCAGAACTATCTCTAACGCCTAAGAACACTAATTCGTCGCTCATGCCCATAGAGAACCGGCGAATGTACCGCACCTAGCTGCCGACGTGATCACTAGCCCCTAATCCCGAAACCCTAGACCCTCACACTGTTGACCTCCTTTATTTCAAAGCTACCTTCGAGCAACCTCAGACTATATCCTGTAGATACAGACCGATTCGCTGTTTATCTGGAGCAACCCCAGCCCATATAGAAAAGAACGATGGTAAATGTAAAACTATTAGCAGACGAGAGGATTTGTATGTTGCATTGACCTACATATGACCATCATCTCAGTGGTGAGCCATACGCCCCTAGGTTCAAGCAAGCAACTACAGACCAACACGCTGCTGATCTGAAGCAACTTAATTCTAGACTACGGCACACCAACAACCCACTGGTGACATCAATCATCTCACAGTCAATCTCAGGCAACCCCAGGCTATAGCACGCGAACGCAGATCAGCTAATTGCTGATCTCGAGGTACCCCACCTTGGGCAAGAGCATGTATATATATACAGGGCCCTTGAACTGACGTTCTGACGCACGTAAACACAACTACCCCGTAGTAGAACTCATCTCAGTTAGCCTCGATGTCAGGTAAGACCAGACTTTAACAACCGAATGCAGATCAATATTCTGGCCGACCTACGCTGTCGGAGTCTAGAATATACAACCGAAAATAAAGTGATCCTTGACCCCAACCGGCGCAGCAACACTATCACCAAATCCTTTTCCAGCACAAAAAGTAGGGCTACAAGTCCTACTACCGTA